TTATTTTTATAAAATATAAAAAATAAAAAAAAGTTCGAAAAATTCCACCCCGAACGGTGGAATAGTTATTTTTTATTGAATTGAAATTGTTTGCTTAAAAGTAAGCTCTCTTAGCTACAAATAGGGTTCCGATGATTTTAGGCTACATTGGCAAGTTCCTAAGACTAGTTAATAGCTATCTACACTGTAATAGTGTAGAAATTTTCTGTGTTAGGCGCAGTGTCTAATCCTTCATTCTCATACTGTGAAGGAATGGCAACCCGACACAATCATAGTATGATTATATTACTAGATCGACGGCTTTGTAGCTACGAGTCAAAGAACACCGCCTAGAACCTAAGTGTGAACTGTACTAGAGGACTTTTTACAGGAAACCCTAAAATCACGTAGCTTTGGATGGGATTCGAACTCAGAACTTCATGATCTGCAGCCGTCGAAATATACAAAATGTAGTACAACAACCAATAAATGATACAAACTTATATACGTTTGTATATTGGTTGATATAAGGATATACGTATTAATATTAAAAATGTAAAAGTTTGTGAATGGATGTTTGTTACTCTTTCATGCCAGAACTGCTGAACGGATCTGGATGAATTTTGGCACAGATATAGATTATAGTCTGGAATAACACATAGGCTACTTTTTATCACGGAAAAATGTACGCTTCCTGTGACATAGGTGTGTTTCTGTTTTCCTAGAGGCGAACCCGAGCGAAGCGAGGGTGAGCCGCTAGTTATAATATATTTTTTATTGTTAATTGGAATTCAAATTTTGTCGCATTATAGAGGGCGGTCAAAGCACGCTATGCTCTAGACTACGGCTAGATGGTTCGTGATTTCTGTTATAAGCGTGATCATGTGTTGTATTCGATAATAAATATAAACGCTTTAATGACCTATTATAACATAATGTAATTAGGAACTTTACAAGTTTAAATTTCAATATTTATGACTGCCTTTGGCTTCACTTGCTTGTATTTAGTTTAGGGCCGTTAAATATGGTTGTTAAATACACATACACAACATGCTGAGAAATATTATACATATATACGCAGCTGGTTCGAATCTTCGTGGAACTAGCTTTTCAGCAGTTTCGTATCAATATTAGATGACACATACTGTATGTGGTGGGCTCATAAAAGGAATGCGATGCGTTTTAGTTAGATCAACTTGGTCAGGCGTTGAAGTTCTTCGATCCTGCTACGTCCCCATTAAGACGAGGGAAGGTTTTGTTGGGTTTTAGTGGGTAGTACTAGCTTTTTCAGCCGGTGAGATGTGAAGGTGGTGATGGGACTCACCCCATATAACCACCTGTACGTCTACAGATGGTTATGTGGGACTCAACGGCTGAAACATTAAAAAAGGCGTTGAAGTTCTCGACCGAGAACAATTGATTCGTGCAGACGGCCCTATAATCTTTTATAGTGTGCTGAAATGGTATAGAGACAAGAGTAACGATATGAGAAATATAATAAAGTTGATCTAGTTACTACGTATTTAAATCTATTCTATTGCTTATAATAAAACCCAGCATTATTTTAATTTCTTTTACTATCTACCAAACAAAAAAAACTGATATTTGGCTTTGTTTGTATCATTCAACAAACATTAGTAAAGTAATATAAATAACATGGCTATATACCAGTTATATAAGTTAATAATAATAATAAATATGTTGGGACATAAACGCACAACACCATCTAGTTCCATGGTAAGTTGTTAAAGTTTTGTGTTATGGATATCAGGTACTTTAATACATACATATTATAAATATAAACACCCATGACTGGAGTACAAACATTCGTGCTCATTACACAAATGAACGCCCCCAGCGGGACTCGAACCCGCGACCGCTGGCACAGCAAGTACAAACTGAGCCAAACGTGTCGTCAAAAATATAATCTAGTACCGCATACTATGTTAATCAGATTTTCATAATACTAAAGAAATATAATTTTTGATGTCATGAACTGTCACGTTTATGAGATAATTAAATATATTAATATGTTACGTAGCAGGCTTTAAGTTAATTTTATTCTATCATATAGGTCTGCGTAGTTATATTTTTAAGATAACATTAAAAATATAAACATACAAGCAGTACCCGCGGCTTCGCCCGCGTTTCAACTTCCGATATAAACATCAGTTTTACAATAATGTATAGAAGTCTGCCCGATTTGTTGACATTTAAGATTACTGCTCCCCTCCCTTGGGTAGTAACATGATGATATATAGCCTATAGCCTTCCTCAATAAACGGGCTATCTAATGCAATGTCAAAAATCGAATGGATTATTAGTTTCTGAGGTTAGCGCGTTCAAACAGACAAACGAAAAAACGAACGATTGAAAGAACGAACGAATGAACAAATGAACGAACTAACGAACAAACTAACGAACTCTGTCTCTTTATAATAGATTATATATAGGAGATATTTCTCAAAATTAAATTCTCCTAGAAATAATGTTCCAAGCTATATTATATTTTATGATAGTCTTAAGTTAAAAATCCCTTTCTTTCTTTTATATACGTTAGAAGGCATTCATTAAAATAAACATTTAAATAAAATTGACTACTACTACGTTAATATGTGCAGAGCAAATCACGATCATATAATTATGCGGCAAAATAATCGCTCCACAATTTATTATTATACAGGTGATTTTGTAAAAAACCACGTTTTTTTTTGTTTTTTAATAATGAATAGGTGAAATTTTAAAGAAGCGAGTTTCGTTTCCACTAGAAATTACCGAATTCGTTCGGAAAAGTGTCTGGCAGAAGAAAAAGGAGGTGTGAGTGACCATTAACTTTTCGGCAAATACTCTGGCGGCCAGCCAACAGCACCTGTAGAGATTTTACAGCCACTTCTTAGATTTAATTACTTCATTTTTAGTCACGCTAACTTCATGCAATTTGAATTTGATTTTGTCGTTAACATAGTTTTTTTTAAGTTTTAGTTGATATGGATTTTTTTTTCTTGACTCGATATCCTGAAATAAATAAAAATGTAGTTATTTCTGTAGACAATAGAGTTTAAAATTTAACTGACTTAATTAATAAAGTAATTTAACAAGTTAAAATTAATTAAGATTAACTAAGAATATCTTTGATTAATTATTTTCTTAATTAGTTTTAATTTTTTAAATCACACATAGAACAATTATGTGGATTAAATAATAAATTTTATATTTTATATTTTTTCTTTATGGTTGTAAATATAATAATGGCAACACTAAATATACATAACTAATTAATATTTTTAAAATTGTAATAATTATAATAATAAGAGCAAAGTTAAATAAATAATATTCCATATTCAATTATAAAACTAATTAAAATTATAAAAATGTTTAAAGTTAAAAAAATATTGTAAAGTATTTGGTGCAATTTTCATTTTGTTATTTGTGGGTAGGCTGTCTGTAACAACTATATCTTCGAGACATGTAACACCTCAGTCTCTCCCGTGACCATGATTGCTGTAAAGCATTCGAAACGTCGGAAACCAAAAATCCAAATAAATCCGCGAAATAATCCGAAAAGAGTTTTATTTAAAATGTCAAATATTCGCGTAAATCTAAGAAAGTATTAGTGTACTTGTTTGTAGATTTCATATTATACGAAAAGCATGTCTAGATAACAGAATTGTGTCGGACTAGAAAGATAATTTACATTATGAATAAGAGATCACTTAGTGAAGATCAAAGATATTCTTGATAATTAGAACCAATCGAAAGGTAAGGAGCACTTGATACCGTATATACTTTATTATTTTATTAATTTATAAAAGGAAACGATTTTAAGTATCTCTTAGAATTATTAAATAATTCCGATTTTATTTTTAAAGAAAATAGCCAAGTACGAATTCGATTAGCGTTTGACTCCCTATACTTTTGAAGTGTTCAACATAATGATAATATATTTTTTTAGATTTTCAAAGCAATTTAACTAAAACGTTTAATCTAGGCTAATATAATAAAGCTGGAGTTTGTTTGCTTTGTGGTTTAAACGTGTTAATCTCTGGTACTACCTATCGGATTCTTTTAAATTTATTATCTTATTTCTTGAGGAAGGTTTGTAGGCTATGTAACGTCACGCTACAACTTTTAGGATCTGTAGTCGTATATGCTAGCCACTAGGCACTAGGAGTCCTAATTATTAAAAACGCTAGTAATTATCAAAAAGAAAATGCCATAATATAAAAAAATCATTGGCGTGAGCAATTTTGAAGTCAGTTAAAACTAAGGAACCGAAAGATAATGTAATTTGCTAATTAAAAATGGATACTTTAAAGTCCCCCGTTGCATTGAACGCTTAGTATCGGTAAAATTTCAATTATTTTAAATTCGCTTTATGTGTCGAGTTTTGGTATTTCTAATAAAAAATTCTTGGTAGAAGTTCAGACACGTCGCTAATATCCCATGAGCACGATCAAATACCAAATGACTAGAAGCAAACATATGTGAAACCAATTAAAACGTTGCTCCGCGGCAGTAAACAGTGTAGTACGGTGCTATCTATTTTATTTGTTATATTGCGCGTTCATATTATATTACTAGCGTTTTTTGTTATTTAATTTTGCAGATTTACACCACTCTCGTAGGTAATAAATCAAAAATAAATAGGCTAATAAATAGGCTATAAATCAAATTGTTGGGGGCAGTCTAGTTAATACACAGATTAATGCATTCAAAAAAACAGCTTTCACTTTTATATATTAGTATACATTAGTACTTACTACCTTTAGCGATGAGTGGGAAGGGAACATTAAGTGCCCAGCAGTGTGGTGGTGAATTATTAAATGTTCAGATCGGATTACTGTTATAAATGAGAACTCCCTTACGCTTGGCTAAACTGGCTAAACTGATTGGGGTGGAATTTATTACACAGATAGATTATATCCTGGAATAATACATAGGCTACTATTGCAGGGATGCACGTGAGAGAAGCGGGGTTGAGGCGCTAGTATCATATATTTATTGTAAATTAATTGTTACAGAGCTCTCGAATAACAAATGCCAGTGGAGACGCATGCGAGCGTCGTGACCCTTGTCAGCATGGAGGAGTCTGCATCAGCACTGACGATGGACCGATTTGCGAATGCCGGGATGGAGACTACGAGGGAGCGTTTTGTGAAAGAGGTAAGAGTATATATAGTTTTTAAAAGATAATATACACCTGTATTTGTATTATATAAATGATGTAAGTTTTTATAGTTTTCCTGATGATTCTATTAAAAAAGGAAACGTTTTTAACGGATTTAATAACTCACTTATTTGGATTATATTTTAAATCCCGGCTATTTGTACGAAAATTTAAGTATTTGAAATATCTAATTCATGTAAGTTTATTAACGTGTAGTGCAGTTAGATTTAAAAAATAACAAAAAAAAGGAGATAACAGTGATAACAAGTTTGATTGAATATAGACAAGTAAATCAAAGGCCAAAGGAAATTTAAAACATAAATTGCATGAGACTTATAGCGATATTTCACATAGCTTATTTCACAAAGGACGTAATGTGAAACTTGCTTATTATATACATAAAAGCTGCTGGTGGATCTTTCTGAGTATCGCGATGGGAACAATAAACACGCGTCGTATAGTAAATGTAGGTTTAGTGCATTTTTTATAACCTTCTCCTAACAGCTGTTACCGTACATGACGGTGAGAATATAATATTAAATTTGTAGATAATTTATACGTTTTAATATCTCGTGTTACACTGCCTCAGCAGTCTAGTGGCTAGTAAGTACTGCCGCAGATCCAGAGGGCTTAGGTTTGAGTCCCGGGTCGGGCCAAGTTCAGTTATTGAGAATTTCTGTCAAGAAATTCTTAGTAACAGCCCGGAGTTTTACGCGCCTAAAGTCTCACCGGTCGTCCGAATTATTGTCTCATCAGACTTTGAGAGTGACAGGAATAGAGAGTGCACTTGTTTCTACGCGTACACTTGTGAACTATAATATCACCTGTGCATCTGGATAATTGAATAAAACTTTTGATTGTATAATAAAATACAGCACCGTGAGAAGGTAGGGGTTTTTGGGTTCAAGAAAAAAAGTCTAACGAGAAGGATAAGACCAGAAATACTTCGCTTCGCTCTTTCCTGCTTTCACCCACAATAATTTATCCCAGTTGGATTTTACACTAAGTCTGATTTTTAAACATATTGCGATGTCGAAAGTGACACCGCGTGTTTTACATAAACGTTGTTTTGTACTAATAGCTAATGGCTTTGTAAAATAGTTAAGTCTATAACCTTTATATTATTTTTAATAGATTCCTGACAACACTATAAAATAATGCAAAAGTTCGTACTCCACCTTTAATATACGTTGAAATATACGTACTCTGAGACTCTTCACCTTTCTAAAGTCTGTTAAAATTGTATTCAAACACAAAACATCCACAATCCTTGTACTTCAGCCTAGCATTGTTAGCTCTTTAAGCTATTAGTAATAAACACTGAAAATTTTCAAACAATGGTGAATTTTTGTAAAAAAGTTGGAAAATAAAAGCTATTAATTCAGGCAGTGCTTTTAAGCGAGACTTGCTCGCTAATGGCAACACCATGTATAATGCTGGCTTAGCACGCGATTCTTATATGCTCTGGGAATGCTAAAATTTTCTATGCAATGCTTTGTACTGTCTTAGAATTTTTAAGTAATAAATCATAATTATGAAAATTTATTTTACTTTGAAACAACATAAAATTTAACTTGCACTATGTGTGATACATGTGTGTTATGTTAGTTAAGTAAAAATAGCAACTGTTTTAGAGACGAAATATATTATAAGCTAGTTTGTGAACGTGGTTCCGCCAACATGGTTGGTATGTGATGGTCAATATTTTGATGATGGGCGTCGCTAATTCTTTATATTCATCAATCGTCTTTTTATTTGTATTCTGGTTTTTATTTTATTTCATTCCTTTAGGAGCTACGATGCCATAGACAGACACAGATACACATATACAAACAAACAAGTTAATCTTATAACACCCCTCTTTTTGCTTTGGGTTAAGAAAAGTTATTAAAATAGGTTATATAATTTTAAAGTTTATCGATTACAGCGAACAAACCTTTCCTGTTTATAATAATTAATAGTATAGATATCAGCGTACCTGATTCCACATAATAAAAATATATATTATGTAATATTTTTTTTTATTTACAATAAATACAATTACAAATATACTTAATTATACATACAAAACAAATGTATACTTAGTTATTACTGTACAAGTCATGTCCGTAATGTAATAATTATAATTTTTTTTTGAAACCTACAACGTAAATTACATTAAAAATATTATGAGTAGCATCATTACATGTTTTTACATAACAAACTTGTCAGTACTTGGCCGAATTTCAAATCAGGTCCGACATGACCATTTCAGAGCCACTCGAGTCTTACGACTATCATTTAATTACAATCAGGGCAAAATGTGCAAATTTTATGCCATCGGAACCGTTTCCACGACGTGCTTATATATAGACTAGAGATTTACCCTGGCTTTGTTTGAGTGCATCCCTACATATCTAATAGTAGCCTATATGTTACTTTATCATAATCTATCTGTATATTAAAATTCATACAATTCGGTTCAGCCGTTTCAGCGTGAAGGAGTAACAAACATAAATAAATATGTTAGGATATTAATACACAGCACCATCTATTCCATAATAAGCTACAAAGCTTGTGTTATGGATACCAGATAGTTGATACACTATACATATATAATTTTAAACACATACATGATTGGAGTACAAACACTTGTGCTCAAAACACAAATGAATGCCCCCAGCGGGACTCAAACCCACGACCGCTGGCACAGCATGTAGGGTCATTACAAACTGAGCCAAACGTGTCGTTCAAAACATGCCCACACATACAAATTTTTGCCTAATATATAGAGCTGCGTCGCGTAATAATGATGTTTAATTAATTACTAACTATGCCATTTCGTGTGTGTTTTTATTAGCCCGTTATTATTAGCTTTATTTGTAACAATGTGATGAAATTTTAGAAGTTGATTTCAACATATTAATTCTAAGTACCTGGGCTATAGAGCTTCGCTCAGTGTTTTTCAGAAAACATAAAACATTACGTTTTTTCAGAAAAGACATCTAATTTTATATAGACAAAGTTAAAAAGCAAAACCTTATCTAAATACAAAATTTGATCCAAATCGTTAGTACCGTTTTCGAGATCGAAGAAGATATTTAAATATTTCATTTTAATTTTTCTTAGATAAAATTCTTTCTTTATAATTAGACATTTAAGAATTCCTCGTTTAATATAATAAGATTGCCATATTGAGGGGCTATGTTAAGTCCAGACAACACAATAGTTAATTTGATATCATCGAACTGATGATGGAGCAAAGAGATGAATATGTTGGAATTCTTCATCGACTACTATTAAAACTTTTTAGTTTCATTTGATTCCTTTTGATACGTCCCATTCATTACAGTTTGCTGTTTTTTTTCTTTTTGTACAATTATAGTTTATTCATCGGAGAACATTAACTGCCTCGGTGGTGTAGTGGCTAGCATGTATGGCTGCACATCTGGAGGTCCTGGATTCAAGTCCCGGGAGGGGCCAAGTTTAGTTATTGAGTCGTTCTGTTTAGTAAGCCTCAGTAACAGCCCGGAGATGGGAAGTTGGCGGTGATTCATCCCCGTGCCTCGGAGAGCAATATAGCTGTCGGTCCTGCGTCTTAACTCTCACTGGTCGTATCGTGTAGTCGTCCCAACGGAGTATGAGAGTGACAGGAATAGAGAGTGACCTTGTGTCTGCACGTACACTTGTGAGGAAGATACATGACATACATGTGAGAAAAATACATACATTTATGATTCTTCAAGAACTTTAAGATAACTTCGTCTACTCCTTAAAGTGAAGTACCTAGAGTACTTCACGAGGCTGTAAAGCTTTTTTTGTAGTCTCAAGAACTACAAATGTACATATTTATCTTAAAAGTATAAAAGTACTGTGTTATTTTTTAGTTAAAATTCTCTTTGAGTCAGTACGCTTGCTTGTATATGAATATCTTCTGCGTGCGGGTTTGCTCGTACCTATTTATATTTTATAATGAATAGATATTTTGTTCTTATCTTTTTTTTCTTTATTTCGAATTGTGTGTTTGTTTTTCGAAGACACTTTTGAGACGCTGACAATTACTCTTTAACTTGACAAATGATTTGTTCCTAATAAAACTTTCAGCAGTTTCAGTTCAGCGGTTTAGGCGTAAATACGTAACAGACAGAGTTATTTCACATTTATTATTAGTATGTATAAACTATTTTTTATCAATAAATAGCTTTCATGAAATAAAGTCACTTGGAAACGCTACTTGTTTATTTGACTTATATATAACATGTTACGTTCTTTTGACATGACTTTTAGTATTTTACTTATACATCGATTATGATATTCTGAATCGTTTGAAGTACCATTCAAACTTTCAGTTTATGTGGTCTAACTTTGGCAATGGAAATCTGCCGGTTATTTTGCCACATCAAATGTTCGTCTAGTAGCTTTCAAAGTAGCGTGCGGGCTGACCGTTTTGAATCCATACATTTTAACTAACGACCCTCAAACTGACTCGGACTAAATTGCGCCAGTATGCATTCCTGTTACTCTTTATGTCACGAATGTACATAATGCATATTTAGTATGCTATACGGAATTTTAGTTAGATTTATTTATTGTTTGTTCTTAATGTGTACAGAAATCAAATATAGTGGCACTACTACTATCGATTTGAAAGTTTATACGTGTATGTGTATGTTTGTTTTTCTTTCACATTGAAACAAATGGACGAACTTGGGTGATATTCAGTATAGATATAGACCTGGTATACACCTGTGACTGTTAGTAATAAAATTTGCTATAAGGTGGCGCTATTTGTATATAATTTTATAAAATATAATAGGTATCCATATTAATATTATAAATGTCAAAGAGTGTTTGTCTGTCCTTCTTTCACGTCGAACTACTTTTTACCGCGGGAGATTATCTCATTTCCACGAAAACTATAATACAACCCAAAAAAATATTTATGATCAGAATTATTTGAAACTCGGTATTAATGCTCTTCAATAAAATCAAATAAAGAGGTGTTTTAGAATTTTCG